AAGCAGAGTAATGCGAATTCACAACAGCATCTAAAAAGCAAACTGATCTTAAAAGAATAATAAACTGGGTTTTAATTTCATCATGCAAAATTCCGTACTTCCTTGACGATTAGCGGATTAGTTTAAGGCAAACTAGGTGTAGAGAGCCCTAGCGCCACGTGAACGACTGCGGGTTGTAATCCGGGCAAGATCACTCTCCTTCCACACTTTCACCGCAATTTAATGAATACCGTATAATGCACAGAAAAAAACAAACCTCCATAAAAATTAACCAGGTGCAGACGGTGCAATACAGAGAGCAAGGCAATTTTGACTGACGGCATCGAGAAATAGGTTAAATCGCGAGGAAACAGGCAAAAATGGTGGGTGGGTGCAATGCATCTCACCTAAGACCAATGAAGATTTAAAAATAATATTCATCGCAAAAGTTGTTTTAAACTAGCAAAAGTCGTAATTTTAATCGGAGACTGTTGACTGGTTGCCAGAGTGATAGTCGCAATCGTCATAACGGTGACGCATGTCTGTATTTTTAACGTATTTGCCTTGTATTTGTGCTGTACAACGGATTCGTAGTCAGTGGACCGCTCCCAAAAGAAAACTTTTAAAAGCGCTTAATTTACACCTTTGAACCCTGCTGACAAATAGACCGCTTTTTAAGAGCCACGCAGGTCAAAAACTGATTTAAACACCATAGTTTAAAAAAATTCGACAGGCAAAGACTTTGAATGTCTAAAGCTCAAGATAATAAACGTTTCATCGAATGAGACACTTGCCGGCTGCGCATGTTTTAACGATGACGATTTTTGCTCCTGCTCATAACGCATACTTTGCACTCCTAAGTTGCTTTGCAAAATTTGTTTATGCCAGTTTAGCCGGGGAAGTGGTTGCTGCGCACCAGCTTACCAAATAAAACTCCAAGTGGGCCATACCATACAGCGTTGCCACCTGAACCCCCATTCGGCAGGAGTCAAAGGCAAGACGCTTGGCAATCATGTTCAGTAACCAAAACGATTTTCTAAGATCGAAAGAACCAGAAAATAAACAAAAATAAAACTAGTCCACTGAGTTCAGTTAGAGTCGAACTACGGTGGAGTGCATGGCACTACTGACGAATGATCCATGGACTCAACAATGATGGACTTGCGCTCAATGTGATGTAAGCGCCCAACTGGAAGACATCAGATCAGATGGGATTAAGAGTTAAAAGCTAGATACGGAAGTTTGTGTATACAAATCGCAAACAGACTAACTTGAGCATCAAGACTTGACAATGACAATCTCCTTTAATTACGAAAAAGGATAAGTCATTCAGCTGTTTTAATGCGATTAACGCGCGGAGTCACAGAAGCACCAATTTTTACCGTTAAAAGAGAGGGTTGAAATTTTATCAGAAATAGTCAAGTAGTCTATCGCTGCATTATTTCACACATCCATCGGCCGTAGGATGCTGTGAAAGCTCTTTGAAACCGGCTCGTGATAATTTCGTGCAGCCATCTTCGATCTGCTGTTGCAGGTACGTACTTTCGTATCTAACGTGAAAGTGCTTTACAAGAGTCTCATCAGATTTTATGACACCGTCGCATCACAATACCATCGAAGAACGCTTAACTGCAATGGTAATGTCTTATACGAATGTCAAAAATAATAATCATCCGAAAACATCTCAATACAATTGACAAGGCTTCGTTTCATTAACAAAATGAAAATATTGCTGAGAAAAAACAGCAATTTACCGTACGGTTATTTCCAAGTCACTTAGCTACAAGTCAGGCCCCCATTGCCCGTCGATAAGAAGATGGCAGAAGCTAGAGGTTATGAGGCTAATACAGAAATGTGTGAAATCGATTTATAATTGTGGGAACTACTATAAGCAATAGCCTAAATGACGCTTTACCCTCGACAGCTGACTTCTAATCTGCTTCCCTGACATGTGGCTTATATATTTGTAGGGGGACAGCAAAGCCTAAAATAAACCGACTAATGAATTGCCAAGCATATGTAAAATCTCACCTTTTCATAAATGTCGTTTCCTTCGGATGTCTGCATTGTCTAAAAACTGTCTAGTCAATTATAAGTGTGAAATACACCTAAGCGCGAAAAAAAAGCCTTGAGAAACGAGTGTTGAATATCGACGACGATCAGGTGAAAAACTTTTATTTACATGAGTAATAACGAATTACACAAAAAGCAATTAATGTTCACGTATCAGACTTGTTACCGGTGACTTTTTCTGTTGGTTCCGGAGTATGATGCGCTGCCTCCTTACGTAGAATGCTGCGGGGCAGGAGTTGAACGCGCTGCCTACTGCGTGCCTCCCTGCCGCCAATGCTGACATGCGCTTGTTTCAAAATCTTCGCGAAGCGTATGCCGCCGTCTTCGCCTTCGCTCCTTCGCGGAGGAGGATTGCTGATGGACACCATCAACTGCTTGCCATGGAAATATGTGCCATCCGTCTTCTCCAGGGCTTTAGTGGCCGATTCGACGTCTTCATACTCGATATATGCCAGGCCTTTAGAAGCACCGCTTTTGTACGTCACCAAACGAACGCTTCTCAACTTTCCATAAACCCTTAAATCAAGATGAAGTTAGGAGACATCGGTTACCACCAGGGTTCTTTACTTATAATTCGATCAATCTCAACCTTTACCATTTAAATCATTAAATCGATTGGAAAAGATTGTTAGATTGCTAGCATGGCAAAGCTCAACTAAATTAGAAAAATGGCCACGAGACATCATTGCTGGTGTGCCCTCGTTCTTTCGCTCAACAGATCACAACTTCGATTAAGATGTCACCGTAAAACTTGCCAAAAATATTCTCCTGCAAACGACACGGTATGCAGCTAAAAGGAAGAGCCAAGGGACAGCGATCCTGGTAAACTCAACATCTGACATATCGCGCGTGCGAATTCAACCAGTGGTCCATTTTCAAATGTCAGAAGTTCGGACAATTTAGTAAAGTTCCTTAGGGCCTGGGGGCCGGTGGGTTGTGAATTAACTAATTTACTACTTACGTAGTGTAGTTTGTTTTCATAATAATTACCAGCAAAATGCATAACAGAATGAAAATTTTCTTTCACACTCACTTGAACAATTCTTCCAACTGGTATTCAGTAGCAGATTTGGGAACGTTCTTCACGAACAACTTGTTCTTTTCCTCTCCCGTGCCGTATTTGAACGAAGTCGATGACGCGTCACTGGACACTTCAGATCGCTGTGGGTCACCCTTGCAAACCGACACGAACATCGGTCTACCGTCGATCATGTGACGGTCGAGTTTCAGCGCTTCGTCGACGCATCGCCCTTCCTTGAACTCCACGTAGCAATAACCTTTGCTTCGGCCAGGCCTTAGCATCACAAGGCGGATGTCGCTGACCTCGCCGACCGTCTCGAATACCTCCATCAAACGTTCTTTGCTAAGTTTGAAGTCAAGATTGCTCACAAACACAGTTCTGG